CAGTCACATCAGGAAGAAAACAACCGTTAAGGACCAGGTAATCAGGCTAAGGAAGGAAGGAGGAGAGACAACAAGAAATGACTATGAAGTATGTGAGGAACTCAACAAGAGATTCAAAGAAGTGTTCACAGAGGAGACAGAAGGGGCTCTAGAAAAACGGAGAGGTGGGGTACACCACCATGTGCTGGACACAGTACACACAACCGAGGAAGAAGTGAAGAGGCTTCTGAGTGAGCTAGATACCTCAAAGGCAATGGGGCCAGATAACATCTCTCCATGGTCCTGAGAGAGGGAGCAAGAGCGCTATGTGTACCCCTAACAACAATATTCAATACATCTATCGAAACAGGGAGATAGCCTGAGGCATGGAAGACAGCAAATGTGGTCCCAATCTTTAAAAAAGGAGACAGACATGAAGCACTAAACTACAGACCAATGTCACTGACATGTATAGCATGCAAAATCATGGAAAAGATTGTCAGGAGAAGAATGGTGGAACATCTAGAAAGGAATGATCTCATCACCAGCAGCCAACATGGTTTCAGAGATGGGAAATCCTGTGTCACAAACCTACTGGAGTTCTATGACATGGTGACAGCAGTAAGACAAGAGAGAGAGGGGTGGGTGGATTGCATTTTCTTGGACTGCAAGAAGACTTTTGACACAGTACCATACAAGAGATTAGTGCAAAAACTGGAGGACCAAGCAGGGATAACAGGGAAGGCACTGCATTGGATCAGGGAATACTTGTCAGGAAGACAGCAGCGAGTAATGATGGTACGTGGCGAAGTGTCAGAGTGGGCACCTGTGACCAGCGGGGTCCCACAGGGGTCAGTCCTAGGACCAGTGCTGTTTCTGGTATTTGTGAACGACATGACGGAAGGAATAAACTCCGAGGTGTCCCTGTTTGCAGATGACGTGAAGTTGATGAGAAGAGTTCATTCGATCGAAGACCAGGCAGAACTACAAAGGGATCTGGACAGGCTGCAGACCTGGTCCAGCAACTGGCTCCTGGAGTTCAATCCAACCAAGTGCAAAGTCATGAGGATTGGGGAAGGGCAAAGAAGACCGCAGACGGAGTACAGTCTAGGGGGCCAGAGACTACAAACATCACTCAAGGAAAAAGATCTTGGGGTGAGTATAACACCAGGCACATCTCCTGAAGCGCACATCAACCAAATAACTGCCGCATATGAATCAAAGGGATGTTAGGAAGTATTTCTTCAGCCACAGAGTAGTCAGGAAGTGGAATAGTTTGGGAAGCGATGTAGTGGAGGCAGGATCCATACATAGCTTTAAGCAGAGGTACGATAAAGCTCATGGTTCAGGGAGAGTGACCTAGTGGCGACCAGTGAAGAGGCGGGGCCAGGAGCTTGGACTCGACCCCTGCAACCTCAACTAGGTGAGTACACCTAGGTGAGTACACACACACACACACACACACACACACACACACATATAATGTTTACATATTGGTTTCGCGTAAAAATCAGAATCTATTACGAGTCTTGTGAATCTTGTAATGATAACCGTATTCCAACATAAATAGAAATCTAAATGAGACAAACCAACCAGTATCAAATTCTGTAATTTGTTGGTAATAGTGCTAATTGTACTTGTCAGTTTAGATTTCTTATTTTATATTATATTTTCTTAGGTTTACAATATCTTCTCATTCATTTGGCAGTTTTTATGTATCAAGGGCGAAAATGGTTATTATTATTATTAAAGATTCGCCGGTAATTCTCCCGGCCCGGGCCTTTTCCAAGTGGTGGCCCGACCTTGGCTCCCTGTCTAGGGAGTGTCTGAGACCTAAGTCTCCCATGGGAGGAGGTACAAGTACTCCCTCATCTTAGGGACCAACTGTCCCCAGGCCTAGCTTCTCGTAAGGAGAAGCTAGGCCTCTCTGGTCTGCCACCCCCGCCCCAAGGGGGCTAATGGGAATGACAGGCTTGTGAGCTGCAAGCTCTGGCTCAGGCACCTACCCTACCCTAGAAGGGCTAGGCATGGTGTCGATGCGGAAATGGTGTCTTAAAAGAAAATTACATTTTTCAAGTGCAAACCTCAGATTTACACTATTGTATGTAATTTATTGGGCCTGCGATTGTTGTGCCTTGATGGCGGTTAAGAGCTCTTGATTCAGGGAATTCGAGTTGGAATTCGTGCCAGACTCGCTGCGGTATCTCCTGGGATAAATTTCAAACTAGTTGTTTTCTCAGCTAATTGAAAAGCGTTTTTAGTTTTATGTTTAGCGTAAGTATTGTTAACTTGCAGAAATTACTAGATTATACTGGATTATAGACTAAAGTTAGCCTACTATTCTTACGCTCCTATGCAGTGCTCCAAACAGCCATAAAAATACACATTTAGTAATACAGTATTTTTTTTTATTGCGAATCGTCTTGTTCTTTATATTTATATATATGTATATGTCGTGCCGAATAGGTAAAACTTGCGATTTTGGCTTAAATAGCAACGCTCTTCTTGCCGAATAAGGCAAGCGAAGATTTGTGTGTGTGCAGTAATTTTGCAAAAATCATTCTGAACCTAACGAAAAAAATATATTTCATTGTGTTTGTTTATTATTAAATTATTTTAAACTTATCTAAAATTTATTTAGTTGGATAAGGCTAAATTAAATTGCGCTTGTTATTAAAAGGTTAGGTAAGTTTTCCAAGGTCTTTTGGTACAAAATTTATTAATTTTTACATTAACATAAATGAAAAAGTATATATCTTTAAACGTATTAGAGAAAATTTTAGAAAGGACTTAATTTTAAATTAGTTCTTTCTGATTGACCAATTTTACCTATTCGGCACGTCATACCTATATATATATATTAAAATTCTAGAATTAAAAAAAAAGGTGGGGGGGGGGGGGGGGAATTGTGAATCTCTCAGGATCTAACTCGGTGAATTTATTTGAAAATCAAAATACAAATTCAGACAACTTTTAAATTTTCTGAACATAAAAAATTTACATGTTTGGAATTATATACATATAAAACATGGATATCTTACGTTAGTATTTTCAACTGGAAAAATATATAAAAAGTAACTAAATCCAAGTTTAATACTAATAGACTACTAAGAACCATACAAATGTTGGTCTTATTTGTGATACGATGATGGAGCAGTTGTGGTGTGGGTAGCCTCATCCACTCCTGAATTATCGCTAAATCAGTTACATACCAGTGAATAATGAGCTTGACTTTCCCATAATATAATAAAGGCGGTAAATTATTTTTTATGAAAGTCAGTATGTGGTATACAATAAAGAATGTATATGACTTTATTGACATTGTATGCCTCGTATTAACATTTGTAACAAGTAAAATAGTTAACTTTAAGCTTTCAAGACGAATTGGTTCAGATGTATGTTTATTAGGAGGCCTTTTTTTTCTCTTGACCTTATGCTCCTCCCCCTCCCTCCCCCCCAAAAAAAACTCCAGGTTCAAACAAAAAATTCCTTTGGGGTTTCAACGAGAAAACTTCAGAAGATTCTTCCCTTCTCCCTACTAGTTAAGTATGAATCATAGAAACGGTTAGTACAAGTTATGCAAATTCTTCGGTAAAATAAGTTTTTAAGCTATTTTTATGTGTAAATTTTACCAGGCTTAGGCCGCTAAGTTAGTTGTGGTGCAAAATCAAGCACTGACACAACTTTAATAATTGCTGTAGTTGGCAAGCGTGAATCTTAAGGTGATTCGTGTTTGCTCTAATAGCTTCCTTTAGTTTATCGGCTTACCCAATTATATTTTTATCAATATAAGAAATATCTGATCTACTAATACATAATTCGTCAATGAACCTTTTTTTTTTCCTCGTAGTCCATCCATTTGCTGTTTATGTCGACATAGGCTGTCACAGGGTTAACATCAAGCATAAATAGTTTAAAGGCCTATCTAAAACATGAAAATCGGCCATTAGAGATCCAGTTTACCTAGGCAACTTTATATGTATATATATATTATATATATATATATATATATATATATATATATTATATATATATATATATATATATATATATATATATATATATATATATATATATATATATATATATATATATATAGTTTTCTATAGTTATATAGTTTTCTGTTCCAGCGGCTCAGTGCGGCTGTTCAAAGGGGTAATGCCTGCTGCATTTTGGGCACACGCCCCAACTCTGAGGAGCTGGATGAGATTTTCGCCTTATAATCAGTGATACACACGTAACAACATGTACCGTATATGCCACCTTTATATTAACAATGTATCTCTTAAATCTTCTGTGCCATATTATGTAATAAAATATTCCTATTGGTAAAAAAAAAATAGTTTAAAAGATGGGGTGGTAGGGGAAGTGGAATATTCAAACGGCTTCAGGAAGAAATCCAAATATTCCTCCTTGAAGCCTTTTTATCCACTTCTCCGAGGCTATGGGTCCCACAATTTACACCAGAGGTGGACCCCATCCTCTATTATATTATATATATATATTATATTATATATATATATATATATATATATATATATATATATATATATATATATAAAAGCAACGCTTTTACCGAATAAGGCAAGCGAAAATTTGTGTATGCAGTAATTTCGCAAAAATCATTCTGAACCTAACGAAAAAAAAAAAATACATTTCATTGTGTTTATTATTAAATTATTGTAAACTTATCTAAAATATATTTGGTTGGATTAGGCTAAATTAAATTGCGCTTGTTATAATAAGGCTAAGTAAGCTTTTCAGTGGTTCTTTCGGTACAAAATTGTTAATTTTTACATTACCATAAATAAAAAAAATACGTCTTTAAACGTATAAGAGAAAATTTTAGAAAGGACTTAATTTTAAATGAGTTCTTGCTAATTGGCCAGTTTCTTACCTGTTTTTGAACTAATCATAATATATATTAATAATTTATAGATAATTATATTATATTATATTAATATATAATATATATTATATATATATTATATATATATTATATATAATATATATATATATATATATAATACATACACACGAGATAAGCATCTTTCTGTGTATAAACCCTGTGTCGAGTCCTCAACCAAGTAAGAATTTTAGTGTGAACAAGTCCACTACTAGAAAGTGCTCCTAGATAGCCTGAAAACCCACAGCACCACAGACGGTGGACTAATACTACACAAACCTAAGTTAACAATGCTGAACTTTTGACTGAAGAGCGTCAAGATAAAAGCACAAACTCTCAAATCCTAGTAACAATAGTATTTTCTTCATATTTTTTTTCTGTAACCATAAAAACCCATGCACAACGAATGTCTAATATGGTGAGGCTACGTTATATGAAGTTTGAACTGTCTGTAGCTGTAATTTTCGTGTATATAAACATTGCGCTCCTTATTTTTACAAAACAATAGAAAATTATTTATCACAGTATATGGTGAACACATTTATCCCTGTACATCATTATCAATAAAGGCTATTTTACAGCCAATAAACAGTGAAATATACAACGCTCAACAAAGTGTGCAATATGCAGTTAAAGTGAGCAGATCCTCATTCGGGCAACAATGCAAGTGCCCCACAATATCTTAAACATGCTAATCTAGCCTTAAGAACAGAGTATTTTTATCATTATTTTCCCTTTTAGAACACGGTAGTAAATAATTTTCGTTTTAATTCTCCAGCTGGTTTGTTGAGAATTTAACTTAATTGAAAAACAAAATTCACGCTAATAAATAAATGTAATAACAGCTTTACAAAGAAGGCTCAAATGAGAGAAAAAATGTGACACTGAATAACACAAATATTTTATCTTGAAACAGGATTAACCACTCATGGTGTTCGTGAGTTTTCTATCTTTGACGTCCCGCCTCTTACGTATGATTAATAGGGAATAATAAAATGAAAAATGTAATCTCTGGACCTTGAACAAACCAAACGGAAAAATCGTAAACCTTAGAATATATATAAAGCAAGTTGGTTAAGCTGGAGTGAGCAACCAAATAAGTGACTCTTATGGAATCTCGCAAATACAGTTGAAACACTTGATTAGACTAGGTTGGTCTTCAGCCGTCCCAGCAGTACCACTCAAGGTACAAATCGCAGTTTTCTTCTTTAATTCGCCGCTGAAATTTTATATCATCGTCCTTTGTAATGAAGAAGCAGCCCCAAAGACGGATGAGTGTGAGTTGGTTGGTCATGTCGAGGAGGTGGTGGATGGCAGACGCTGTCACATTTGGGCAGGTATCAATCGTCAGCCGAGACAGATGACGCATGTCATTCTCCTGGAGTGATGACAACATGAAGAATTTACTAGTTACTGCTGTTTATACGGTTAGATTTAAAGCATATTTGCATACGAATCATTCAGGCTCAAATTCACATGCACTAGGTATGATAATGTTCTTAAATTATATAGATTATTTTTTCTGAAGGATCAGAATAATTATGAATAATTATCAATAAATAAAATTTAAAATAGGATATCAAAATTTTTGTAATGAATTGCGCGGACGGAGTGGTCAGTTGAAGATGGAATGTAATATACGCCAGTGGCACGTTTTTGAAAAAAAGTGAAGTTTAAAACATTTCTCAAGAGAAATAAAGATTGTGACCAATTATTATTATTATTAAGAACATCTAATAAAAAAAAAGATCTTGTGGTCGTTATAAACACAGATTATTACCAAATCACATGTAACAGTGGAAAATCCAAAGCACTTTGGCGGACTTTAAGGTATATTTTAAACGTATGATTTATTTTAAATGTGTAACTTTAAGAAGACTAAGATTTTATTCACAGCATGCGTCTGATCTAAACCGAAATATAGCAGCATGGTATCCTCACGTACAAAAACAAATGGTGCGAATTTGAGGCGTAATGCCGACAAGTGGTGAAGACGCTAGTAGCAGTGAAATCCTTTATTGGGACAGCGTTCAGGTACTAACACACATGAGATGTAAGAGCAAGCCAGGTTTAAATGTAAGATCGGTCTTCGTATACATGGTTTAGGCTCCCCATGAATATAATAATGATATTCATATACAGGAGCATAAACACGCCTGCAGACAGATCACAGTATCGCGTGTATGCAACACTATAACTTAAACTTAATGGTGTGTCACAAAGCCAAACTATTGTTTCAAGGGAATGGTACGGTTAAATGTAGATGCCAGGACTCGTCTACAATAAGACAAACACTAGCAAATCATATCACGGGCGGGGATTCAACTCTTGGCGGGTGAGTCGCAAAACTTGCATTTGAGGTCACAGTTGGGGCCTGTGCTTACCTCTGTGGCATATAAATATACCTAATTAAATGAATCTTATTGTAGCCAGCTGGCCCAGTGGCTTACGCGCTGGCCTGGAGTTTTACGACTCTCTCGCCACGAGTTCAATCCACACTTGTGGTATGGTTTGTTTGCAATCATGGCATTACGATTTCGTGAACCACCTAACATTGTTTTGGAAGAAAGGAAACAACGTGGGCTGGTAGGTCACTTGATGTACCTGACACTCGCATGCGACTTTTATACCTTGAATGACTATCCAACCTGTTGCATCTCATATTTTTTATGTATTTTTAAATGCCCACTCATGAGTTAAACGTACCAATAGAGGACTTCACCGCCCAAAGAAAGTTTAAAAGTAAAAAGATATAAAAAAAAAAAAAAACAAATTTCAGGATTGTTAAAAAATTTGAATTGCAAATAAAGCCTAACAACCCCTGGACATATTCTTGCCTACTTGGTGTGTTAGTTTCAGCTTGGTTAAGATGCTAGGTTAATTATGGTATAAAATTACAAATTGGTATATGAAAAAATGCTTAATTATCATTGTTAATTGCGTTCCTTGAGTGAATCTTCAAGTGATCTTAGAAAAAAGGCGCCTTTGCTCAGAAACCAATGGACTAGACTTAAATTTTGGGAGAATTAAGACTCATGAGTTCTTCTTACACTTTTTTCCTCTGTCCAGCTAGCATTAGGTAGGTACCTGGGAAGAATGGGGGGATAGTACGCAGTAACATAGGATAACCTTTGAAATAGGCTGAGACAGGATAACAGCTCTTAGGCTATAAATTCAATGGGCTAAAAAAAATAGAGCAGTATTCATTATATTCTTATTCAGCAAACCTCAGAGAATGAAAAAAAAAAACTCGTAAAGTCTCTATTGTAAGATTAAGATGAAGCAGTATATTATAGTGTGCTTTGATTACTATGGTCGGGCGATTGTCATAAAAGTTTTCTTTGACATATGTAAAATTCGAGACTGCATGCAAGTAGTTTTTTTTTTATTGTTTTGAGGAAGCCTAACGTTATTCATTATCTTCTGCACTTTTAAACGAAATATGGATTCTGTTTTAGCATGCCACTCTGTAGGTAGTTCTACTGAATTCTTTGCTATAATGCTGAAAAACTGCTATTTTTTTTATTACCTCTGTTGCCTACCTGGGTTAGTCAGCTACTTTTATCCTCTAGTCCTGGCTCTTCCCTGGCAAATTGTATATCCATGTAAGCCCTGTTTATGTCCAGAAGTATATGTTGTGATAATGTTTCTTCTTGGTATATTTTCTTCCAGAGTGGTAAATTAAGTTCCTACCCAGTTGGTTTCAAATCTAGGTACCTTCCATGGTTTTGCTATGGTCTTTTACTAGGTGTGGTTCCCACACTGGTGCTGTATACTCAAGGCTCGGATTTACGTTTGTGCATGCAGACGGTTGTCTGTCTAGCTATAGAAGCAGAACTATGCTTGTAGCGCTCAAGCCTAACATTTAATCTATCATACACATTTAAAAAATTGATTAGTTTTAACACTATGTAATATATATGTTTGCGTTACGAACCCGCCAGATGTCGAAGAGGAGCTTGTCGGAGAGGGCGTCGGTGCACTTGACGAGGAGATGACGAAGGTCTGGGCAATAGCAGAGCAGCTGACGCAGGATGGTTGTATTACACGACTCTACCGTCAAGCTTGACCAGATCTGTGCGGCAGACACGATGTTACAATGAAGCAGTGAAATTTTAAGTGATCAGAATTGGATATATCATCATTGTGCTGCTACCCTGTTATATATGATAGTTACATTGAAAGACCAAAAACTAGGTCCTAAATAGTTTCCTATGAGCAATACTGAGGAAAAAAAAAATGCAAAACGAGCTTTCACTGGGATAATTCATTATGTGTAGAACTTCGTAATCTCTATGCAGTGAAATGTCCCAATAAAATCTACAACCTGTGACTTTTCTTAAAAACCAAATTAGCTATACTAGTGGCACTAAGGAAAGAGTAGTGGTTGCCATTAGGGTTATGGCGAGACTGCATACTGGTGATGTTAGAATAAACTAAATATAAATAACACTTCTGTCAAGCTTAGCGGATTCAAGATCTAGCCTCCACCGCTCCTTGAGCTGAATGACTCATACGGGATTGTTGCTTTATATAATAATAATCAGCTAGATATACCCACCTAATGTGGGATACTTGGGAGAGAGGCAGCTGCTGGAAGGCAGGTATGTCTTGCCGGAAGTGTGTAAGTATTGAACGATTCAAATGACCCCCGAACTGAAACATCACCCGGCCTTCAGAAATCAAGTCTGGATATCCAATTTCTCTAAATTCCTTCATAAATGTTTCCTTCCTCACACTTGAATAACAAGACAAAATGTAAAAACCATTTGTTTCCATTCAGTCCATTCTAACACGCTTACAAACGCCTGCTGAATGCTCAAGCCCCTTCTACTTAAGAGTTCCTTCACCCCTTCTCTCCAACCCTTCCTGGAACGACCCCGACCTCCCAGCCCGGATTTATACGTTTTTTAGTCATTCAGCTATCATGTCTGTAAGTGGCCATCAAGCCCTACCCTGCCCTCTGAAATTATAATTTTCGTAACCCCAATAGTCTAATTTCTATGTTCTTAATTCTCTACAGAATATTTACACATCACATTGGTCTCAATAATGGCATCTCCAGTGTCTCCACCTCTTCCTCCTCCTTGCTGTAATATTTAAGGCCCATGCTTCATTCAGAAACGGAAATATACTCTGGTACATTTCTTTTTCTGCCTCCTTAAATTAAGTTCCCTGTCTCCATCGATGCATTGACAAACCACTCACCAATTTTGCCCTTTTCTATGGCTCCGTTGTTTTTTGTAGACTCATCTTCAGACACTTACACCCCAATATCCAAATACTTTTACAGTTCTTCAGTGTTCCCTCTCTCCAGTCTGTCAATGCACAATTTTTTTTCCCTGCTCTCAACTTTGCTCTTTCCTATGTTCCCTTTCAGTTTTTTTTCACATAACCTCCCAAATTCCTCCACCAATCTTTGTAAATTCTTTTTCAGAGTCTCCCAAAAGAAGTGTGTCATCGGCAAAGAGTAACTGCGACAACTCCCGCTTTATATCTAATTCATCATCTTTTAGTCCCACACGTCTCTCCAACACCCTAATGTCGCTTCTTTCACAACCCTATCTATACATATGTTACGCAACCATGATGACTTTGCATATTCCCTCTACTTTTGCTGGAAAATATTACCCCTCTCTCCTACATGCCTTAACCTGAGTCTCAATATCTGCATACAAACTTTTTATTGCTTTTGGTAGCCTACTACCAGTTTCATACATTTACCACATTGTTTCCATATCCACCTTATCATATGATTTTTCCTAAATCCATAACTGCAACAAAAAGTTCATTACCTTTTTCCAAGTATTGTTCACTTACGATATATGTTTTAATGTAAACACGTGGTTTATGCTTCCCAGGTTAATTAAATATAATTTGCTACCAATGTATGCCTATAACGACTATATATTTATTACAGTTGTAGAAATATAGTACAATCTGTAAATTATATGTAGGGAACCTGAACAGATATTATTATTATTATTATTATGACTGTACCTCAAGGTTCCTAAGCCTCGTGAAGCAATGTTCTCGTGGGTACATGATGTCCTCGTACACTCCTATAGCACTCAACGCCAAGTTCTGTAATCCTAGGACAGCACTCGCCGATTGCTGCAAGAACAAGTAATACAGTGATGTGTGGTACTTGGAAGTAGTTGTGCAGTGATGCTGTGGTACTTGGAAGTAGTTGTGTAGTGATGCTGTGGTACAGGGATGCAGTGGTAAAGTGAGGTGTGGTACGGGAATGCAGTGGTGAGGAGACAAGTCTTACCTTAAATGTAATAGAGGCTACAGTGACATATTTTAGCATCCGAAGTTTAGGTTGACTTTCTTGTCAAGAAACAAACTAGTAGAGGTGTTTAGTATCACAATCTTATTATTAAAAAATTAAAATTAGACTGTATTACTGTTATTCAGGTAATTGCACAAATTGCCTATACAAACGCATGCTGTATAACCCTTGTAGGTTTAGCGCTCCTTTCTTATAATGATAATATATAAATGCATACATTAGTTAAATAAAAGTTTAATAAGCTTGGAAATCTCTCAGGAAATCAACATTTTGAAAACAGACAAGAAATAAAACTGAATATTTCAATTCCAACACTGGGATCCTCCGTAACAGACAGGATCTCAGTCTCCAGTTTCAAAATGCGGATTTTTAGCTAAAACAGAGACTGATTTATATTTTTGTAATATAGTTTTGACTTGTGAGTGTTAGCGCGTAGGATTGTATTTGACTTTTTCACTTCTTTAAAGCTCGAAGCGATTTGTACATCCAACAACTTAACTTTTTTCCTTGCAGTCACACACATGTAGAAATGGATTGCACAAATACATTTAAAAAAGCACAAGTGAGGTCGTTTATACTGTTGGCCAGTGTTTATTACACTAGTATTTGGATATGTTTATGACAGACATGACCAAGAAGTGAAGCTTAATCCTGGCACAGAATAAGTAATTACAAATAGGTAGTAACATAAGCGTGTGTATATATTATTTTTTTTTATTAACACACTGGCCGATTCCCACCAAGGTAGGGTGGCCCGAAAAAGAAAAACTTTCACCATCATTCAATCCATCACTGTCTTGCCAGAAGGGTGCTTTACACTACAGTTTTTAAACTGCAACATTTACACCCCTCCTTCAGAGTGCAGGCACTGTACTTTCTTGTCATCCGCACTACATCCACGCACATTCAAGCATCCCAATTTTATAAAGTTTTTCTTCTTCTCTTTTTTAGTAAATGTTTACAGAAGGGGTTACTAGCCCATTGCTCCCGGCATTTTAGTCGCCTCATACGACACGCATGGCTTACGGAGGAAAGATTCTTTTCCACTTCCCCATGGACCATGAAACATTGCTTTGGTATACAGTTTTTTGAAATTTGAAATGACCTGCTGGTCCATGGGCTGGAGGAGAGGAGTGGTATTAGGAGGTAAGAACTTGACTTTGATAAAATTCAAGTCCCCCAAAATTCGCTCTGCCAAGTCTGTACCAGGAGGAGAGACAGAGTTAAAATGGCAGATTTACACGTACAACAAGATATTACTGCCTTAAATGTACGCCTTGATACCCTGAAGAAGAAACAACTCTATGCAATGCAAGAACTCTACATGCCAGATAGAGAACATCCTCTCCAAGTTGAAAATACCACGGATTATATCAATACTCCTCCTCACAGGACCCAAAGAATGACTCTCCCACAGAGGGTGCGTCGCTTCATCCATAAAGACGATTACCATCGACCAATGATCTTGAGCAACCTCCCTGCAGATGAAGATGATTGGGTAACACCAGAACCCTTCTATGTATACTAAGAAAATCATCGCCCCCAATTAGGGAGATATCTTGTATAGCATTCTACTGTTAAAATTATGCTACATTTACTATGGCGGGACACCACCTTGTAAGAAGCTAACGTGTCAAGTAATTCTTTACGAATTGTCCAGACAACTATCGCCTTCATTGTCGTTTAAATATTCGTTGTGCAATCGCAAAAAAAAAAAAAATGCAACTTGTATAATTACTACCAATTCAGAGTCATGTACTTATATATCTGTTATATCTATGTGATTCTGATGGGTTAGTATTATACCCCTTCAAGAATTTTTTATTCCACATACACTTTAAATTGCACCAAAGTGGTTGGGCCACTTACCTTTCATATCCTACCTCTCTCCCCCCTCCCACCCTTTTCCAATATTTCTATCCTTACCCATCCTTCTTCCTTACCCATCTTACCAAAGACTCTGGTCATAAGAAGAAGTCTGAAGGATGACCAGGAGTATTGTTTAATACCAGGAGGCACTTAAGGTCCAATTTATTTTCCAGGAGGTAATTTTTCACAGTGGGGCCAAACACATGTGAAACCAGTCATAGAAAAAATCCATAGTGACCCATGCCTTACTGTTTGCCCTCCACATCACACACAAATTAGCCTTGAGGACATTGCTTTTCCTGAACACTCTGGGAGTTTCACAGTGATACACGAGTAGAGGCTTCACTTTGCAATCCCCACTAGCATTACTACACAACAGTAAGGTTAGCCTGCTTTCATAGGCTTTTGTCCTGGGAGTGCTTTTTCCTCCTGTGTAATGTAGGTCCTGTTTCGCATTTTCTTCCAAAACAGGCCTGTTTCGTCACAATTGTTGGGGTTTCAATCCTTCAACCTCTATGTAATCCTTGAATTCCTGCACATATTTTTCAGCCGGTTTTTGGTCCGAACTGGCAGCCTCACTATGCCTTATCACACTATGCATGCCACTACGATTCTTAAATCTCTCAAATCAACCTTTGCTGGCCTTAAATTCACTCACATCACCACTAGTTGCAGGCATTTTTTAATTAAATCGTCATGCAACTGCCTTGCCATTTCACATATGATCACTTGAGAGATGCTATCTCCTGATCTGTTTTTCGTTTATCCACACCAATAAGTCTCTCAGCATCTTCGACTACTTGCGATCTGTATTTCGAAAACATACTTGCACCTTTTGCAACAACAGCTTCCTTAATTGCCTTTCTGTTGGCCAAGATAGTAGCGATGGTTGATTGGGGTTTGTTATACAACTTGGCCAGCTCGGAGACACGCACTCCAGTTTCATACTTTGTGATGATCTCCTTCAATTCAATTGTAATTCTCACCCTTTTTACCACAGGGTTGGCACTAGAAGCCTTCTTGGGGCCCATGGGGCTTATTTTGCAGTTGCTAGCACTGAAAAACACTGGACTAATACAAAATGTACCAAATGTATGCATGGATGTGACTGCACTGGCTTGTAAATACTGGCACACTAACTGAAGGCAGGGCAGCTAAGGTGCGCTTAGGCCAGAAGGGACACGTGGACGCGTTCGGGACGAATCATGTTGGTCGACTTTTTCATCGTTGGTCGGGCCAAAATTTTTACGCTCAAACGTTTCGTTAGTCAAATTTATCGTTAGACGATGCCTTTGTTGGTCAGGGGTCCACTGTAATATATATATATATATATATATATATATATATATATATATATATATATATATATATATATATATATATATATATATATATATATATGAGGAAGGTACCACCTCTAGAACTACTGGGAACCCTCGTCCTCACAGAAGAGAATAAACGTACTTCAGGGAAAACTCAAGGTTCTTCCTGGAGTTGTTTGAATATTTTCTTTTCCTACCACCTCCTATATTCTATATTGTATGTAAATTTTATTTATAGACAGAATACAGTGACAAAAAATACAAACATGAATACATTGGTACATTATATCAAAGATTACAAATCTCCTCCAACTTCTCCAAAGCTGGATGCAAGCCAAACATGCAGCAAGCATTTCTCCTCTGGATGGCTACACTGAGGCACTGGAATATGAAAGTGGCTGCCGTCACGTCCCTAGTGGTGTCAATGAGTCTGGAACCCAGTTCTTTAAGGAAGTGTGTGGCATTTTTTTCCCATGATCCCAAGGTCTCTGATCCCACAGGGACTAATTGATACTGTTGGCTTATGTCTCTAAACCTGCCGATCTTGTACTCCTCCCTGTGATCAGCAGCTCCTCCCTGTCGCCCGACACTGTGATAGATGTAGGTGTCAGCCAGCGTCGACACGCAGGTATAGTTCCATGCTAAGAGCCTGCTGTTCTTCCAAGGATAGATGGTGATCCCATCAGGCTGGTTTGCTGGGTTGTGAGTATTGTTGGCTGCTAGTGATCGGGGCTCTCTCTCGGCTGGGCATCCAGCTGTAGCACTGCTTCTCTTAAAGAAAATGTCATTGACTTCATTGTGTCTTGCGTGCCAATCCTTGGTTTTGGAGCAGTTAAGACCATGTAGACCACATTAGTCGGTTTGGGTATCTCTGCAAATGCACTTATATTCCGTGTGAATTGGGGCAGCTAGGCGGAGAGCCACTGCAATACGGAGAGTCTTAGGGTCAAGGCGTGTTCCCATTGCCGAAATGAGAACTGTTTGGAGGAAGTCCCAGAGCGATGTGCACTCACAGCTTGGAGACAGGCAGTCTCCCTGTTTGATGTTACATCCATGAGCATGTTGGCAAGTACCTTTTCAGTGATGGGACCATCCTAACATGACTGTTTGCAATAGGTTGTGGTGCTGGGGCAGCGAAAGTCTCCCATTCAGTCATGGCACTGGCATAGCTAGGATCCTGTATTCCTGCTGAGTCACTGAGGTTGTCTGGGAGAATTTGTTTTATTAACTCGTTTGATGCTATGGAAAAGGATAGAGAAAGCTGTTAAGGCAATCTGGGAGGATTTGCGTGCTCTCAGGCCCCCAAGCCTGACTGAAAGTGATGCTTGCACCACTGTCCATCTTCAAGGGAAAGATTCAATACATTCTCTAGCATGGTCTTAAGGAGGTAGTCATATTCCTTGAGTTTCGGACTGCCGAAGACTGGGGAGCATCTCAGGAAGTAGGTAAGTTTTGGGATGAACAGGCATCCGGTGAGTAGGTAGAAAGCATCATGTGTATCATTGTCTTTCATCCTGCCTTCCATCGTCCTGAGGTCTGAGGTTTTCTTTTCTAGGATCAGATCAATGGCACTGGGCCCAAGAGGAGCACCAAGGAGAGTGCTGTTGACTGGATCAATGGCTCGTGATCCTGGCAAAACAGCACTAATATTCTGGATCATCTGTCGATTGGTAGAAACTATTTCACATTTGTTGGGGTTTAAAGATAGCCCCAGGCTCTCTCCCATGTCTTTAATTTTTCTGATGTCCTCTAGGAGAGATTTCTTTAGTGTCAGCTAGGGTACCATCATCCAAGAACCAGATATTGAGCTCACTGGAGAGCACTTGTGTGACCTCCTTGATAACCAGACAGAACAGAAAGGGGGCGAGAGGGTCTCCCTGTTGCATACCCTCATACGTGTCAATTTCATGGTCCCCAAATAATAGTTTAGAAGTCACACTATAACACGATTCTGCGAAGGGATAGAGGAAAGGTAAGTGTCTAGAAACTGCTTGGAGAGCAGCATCCCTTCTGTCTGTACTGTTAAAAGCATTGGCAAAAGCCAATTTGATAAAGGCTTTTTCATCTGAGATGTTGATGTATACTCGTGCTGCATGGGCAGCAGCTTCACAGCCTTGTTCAACACCATAACTAAGCTGAGTTGGTTTCAGCACTGGCCAGCCTCTTGACTCACCATTCTTAATGCAGCCTTGGCAACTAAGCGCCGAAGGGTGTTGCCCACTGCAATGGGCCTGATTTCTCCATCCATTTTCAGGAGGGCACATAATGAGGCACCAAAGAAGAGGAGTCTAATGGCCGCAGGACGCTGCTAGCCAAGCACACATTGGAAAATTTAGTGAGTTTAGATAGCAACCTCTCTGAAACATCACCAAGTGCTGGATCGAGCATTTGTTTTAAGTGTTGTGGCCTTAAACCGGTGAAACCTCCTGGTGAGCCATGTGGAAATGACATAGCAGCTTTATATACATCAGCGTCCTGTAGGGTTAAATGTTCTTCATCTGCTGCAGTGTCAGGGAGGTCAGTGTTGTTACTGGGAGCTCTGGGTGGATGTTTGTCCTTCAGGGCTTGTGCTGCAATGACGTCCTTAGGAGCGATGGTTATAAGCCTCAGTGCTCCAATAGTATTACCCTCTTCTATTTTTTTGCTAATTGGGTTCTGATTTTTGAGGTGTCAGGTGTCCTGTTGTTGGCATTTGCCTGGCGGATGTTTTGTCGCCCTAGAGGGGAGACGGACGAGGTTGTCATCTCTAGGGAATGCATTTATTGCACTAATAACAGATGTTGCTAGTGACTTGTCTCTCCTTGGTGGGACAGCCAGACAGGCATTGCCAAATAGCATTAGGTTGTGCCAGGATCCGTTGTTTGCAGGGGCATTGTTGACTTTCTTCAAGAGGCCAGCGAATTTGCTAGCAGCTTGAGGGCGAGCTGCTTTGGGGATGTGTCAAAGTCTTGATGGATGTTAATTTGATTGCAGATTTTAGGTCCTCTGTAGAGGTGAAATCATGGTAGATGTCAGCTCTATCAGCTGGGAGGGGCTGTTGGTTATTCCCATTCGGAGCCCTCCGGGAGCCTAGACATCCATTGTGTACACAGATGTTGCCCTTTGAGGGACTGAGTGCGCATTCCTGTGGCACACGTGGCAGATGCCTCGTGGACGGATTCCACGGCGTTGGCTCTGTCGTGGATATTCCAGGGAACCCGTCACATCTTGTGACATAGCTGACATCGTGGCCCAGGGAGGGCGCCAGCTGTGGGATAACGGATGGAGGACAGCATGGATGCATGGGAGATGAGGGTGGGGGAGTAGCGAGCGGTAGAGTAATTGGTGGGGCACTAAAAAGCAGCACCCTTGCGTGCCAAATAGGTAAAACTTGCTATTTTGGCATAAATGGCAACGCTTTTCTTGCCGAATAAGGCAAGCGAAAATTTGTGTATGCAATAATTTCGCAAAAAAAAAAAAAAATTTGAACCTAGCGAAAAATATTTCATTATGTTTGTTTATTATTAAGTTATTGTTAACTTATCTAAAATATATTTAATTAAATTAGGCTGATTTAAATTGCGCTTGTAATAAGGTTAGGTAAATTTTCTAAGGTTCTTTTGGTACAAAATTATTTTTTACATTAACAAAAATGAAAAATATCCTTAAAAGTATTAGAGCAAATTTTAGAAAGGACTTTATTTACAATGAGTTCTTGCAAATTGGCCAGCTTTACCTATTCGGCACGACGGAATTCTTCCTCCGTAAGCCATGCGTGTCGTAAGAGGTGACCAAAATGCCGGGAGCATGGGGCTAGTAACCCCTTCTCTTGTATATATTACTAAAATTAAAAAGAGAAACTTTCGTTTTTCTTTTTGGGCCACCCAGCCTCGGTGGGATACGGCCGATTTGTGTGTACGTGTGTAATCATTATGCAATAATCACAAACAAGCGACACAAGATGCAAAACAGCCACAGGGAGGTGAATGATAGCTTTAGGCCTTTCGTGTTGCAGTGCTGCAGAAATGCGGAGGAAGTCCAATAGTTTCCCCTGAACGAAGCTGCTTGGACTTCCTACTTATTTCGGCAACATTGCAAACTCCTGATGTGTTGATTGCAACCACGAAAGGCTTTCCCTGTGTCTGTTTAGCATATATTATCATATCGTGTGTCTGATAAGAGAGTTGATCACTCACCTGCAATATCCACGTTAGTAAAGTTTGTCAGGAGAAGTGAAAGGAGCTGGTGACCCTTCACTGTGAGGACGGGTAAGATACCTTCTTGGAAATTTAGCGTGAAAGCCTCACAGTTGGTGATCCTCAGGTGGGTCAGGTGCTCCATCATCATCACCTTGTAAAGTACTTCGTTCTCAATGTACGCGTTGCTCAGGGTAAAGTTCTGCGTGGTGAGAGAGGAAAGTAAAGCGTGCTGCGAGGCAAGAATGTAAAGTGAAGTTTTGTGAGAGAGGATTGGAAAGAAGGTAGTATCAGAGTGCTTTGAGGGAGGGAAGCAGAATCAAACTGGGCGGGGGAGATGGAGAAGAAACAGAATCAAGCTGTATGGACAAAAGGAGGTAGGGTGGAAGGAAGGAGGCCAGGTCAAGTCATGTGTGGAGGGTAAAGAAAAGGTAGGATCAGGTTTTGTTTGAAATGAGAGAGGGACGAATTAAAAGTAAAATGGTGTACGGGGAAGTAAATGGAAGAAGGTAGGATAAAGTTCTGAATGGGAAGGAAAGATACAACGCAACGTGAAGTTCTTTGTGGAGAGACTGAAGGAAGCTAATAAAATGAAGTTATGTGTGAAGAAAGGGAGGAAAGGAGGGTTGAAGGTAGGGTAAATTTATTTATTTATTAATTTATTAATTTGAACATGATACAGTGAAGTACAAAGGAATACAGTTATTACGATGCAACATGCCAAAGCCCCTTGTATGCAGAGCATTATGGACAGGCTTAAAATTAACTTAAGATTAACTAAGCAATGATATATTCAGTGGTAAAAACATTATTGTAAACAGATAACAATTTAGCACAAATGAGTATTACTATGACAGGTCATATGGTCATTTACTGTGTTGCTGTGCATTCAGTAGAATGGAATATTCTGTTAGGTAATGTAATTAAAAAATAAAGTTTGATTGGGTCACAGGTTAGACATTTATGGGATACAATAATGAGAAACATTTGCGAGATACAATTATTCAGTATTTATTTAGTTGTGGGTGAGTAAGTGATTTTTGAGAAGAGACTTGAATTTATAAATAGACAGTGTTTCTTTCATATTCACAGGTAAAATGAATTCCAGATTTTAGGGCCTTTTATGTGCATTGAGTTTTTGCATAACGTGAGATGGACTCGAGGAACATCAAAGAGTGATCTACAGTTGTGTATGGCTGTGTAACCAGGAATGGCATAGACATATGTAGTATCAGGCTTTAGCCAGGTTTCGGTGAGAGTAATGATGGATATACTGGAATGCAGGGAATTTAGTAATGCTATGAGGTCATCGTAATGTTTACTTAATAAAAGAGAAGTAGACTGAATATATTGAGGAAAGAAAGGTAAAAGCAAGTGTGGTAGAAGTCATTATACTCCTTTGGATTAAGGTTTGAATGAGGGGGATTAACGTTTGAATGAGGGAGATTAAGACA